CCGTGAGGAATTATAGTGTGTCCTGGCCTGCCCGCACTTGAAATTGTCAAGAGGCAAACATCTGCACGTTCGCGGCGTTTTTCCATAACGCTTTTTATTATGCCAATAAACTAAGTCGCTTTATGCGGCTGCGTGTGTGCAAGAAAAGTGGGTGTCCGCGGCAGATGCCTGGCGGTGCACCGGCTACGGCAAAGCGAAAGAGTGACACCCTTGTTATAGGGGAAACGTCACCTTAGGCGCCATTAATCTATTTCCTATTTGTCTTCCGCACGCCCGTCCCTCTTTTCCAATCCCAACCTCCTTGGAAATTTACAACCAGGCTGCTGAATTTGCACGGTATTGATCAGTATTGATTTCATCTCAAGAACACAAGAGCAATACAACTTTTGAGATGCAATATAGTACAATATTCTCAATATTAATGCTGAGAATGAAACTACTTCACTTGTTCAAAACTCGCTGCAAATTTCATTCTTATGGATATTTTATAAATTACGCCGTTAAGTTTAAAATTATTATTTTTTGGTCAGTTTTGAATTTTTTTGCTAAAATTGAAATTTTGAAATGAAATTTTAGCAAATCAGTCCAAATAAAAAATTTTAGTGACCCATTATTGAAAATAAAATAGAATATTATTTGCTGTGTGCGTAGTTTTTTATTTCATGAATGAACTGATGCACAAAAGCCATTAAAAACATTTAATTCCAATTCTTCACTACTATTTCTAAATAATTATATTTCAACAATTATAATTATTGAAAGTAATAACAATTATAATAATTGTTATTTGTTCAAAAACTCCTCTCCAGTAAAAAATACAGGAAAGATAGTGGAAATAAACAGGTGATGCTACGTCACCTGCTTATTTTTTTCCTCAAGTCTGCTCGTTTTCCGTCTCTCTTTTTTCAGTAAAGTAGAATGCATGGTTTGAAAACAAACTGCGACGAGTCCCAATGGGCGGACCGTGAGCAATTTCCAGCCTCTCGTGACGCAACCGGCATTTTTCTTGATATAGCATGTCTCTTTTCCTTTTTACATTTGTATCTCGCTGGGCGGGTATCATTGTGTGCAGTTCAAGAGGAAACGTGAAATTGTGCGGCCGCTTGAATGCTGAGAAATATATTCGCGACGGCGAGATTTGTTCGGGAGACGTACAAAAGGGCCGCGAAAGCAATAAACCTGCTGAGCCCACACAAAACTGTATGGATTGGAACGGCGCTCTGCCAAAAGGCGAAAGAATCGCGACTCTCTGACACTCATCTTTTTTATCGCGGAAGCGAAAACTAAAAAAGAAGGGGAGGAGAACAAGAAAGAGAGGAAGGCATTTATGATGAGATGCAAATTTCCCGACATGCGATATTGCGATTTTTGAAATGCCTTTCGTGCGTCTGCTTTACTGCATGGAAAATTTCATATTAAAATACGAGCAGCAAAAATCCACATAATAAGCAGATTTTTAGCAGAATACTACAATTTTTGGAAATTATTTCTATTCCTCGTTCTGCTTTATTTTTCAATTCCTTAAAAAAGATTTAGGCAACTTAATTAAAATTTTTGTCCAATGCTCATCTGTGATAAAATTGTTTATTGAAAAGTTTCCCATAAACGATATAAATTTTGAAATCATTCATTGATTTTAATTTCTTCAACTTGTGATTGGGCTGATATAAACCTGATGTTATGAAATTTAGATCGATTTTAATTGAACCATTGAAGAAAAAAAGATTACTTTACAAAGTTTCCATTAAAATCAAGTTTAATTGAAAAAATATAATTCTTAATTACTTCAGCAATTTTTTTATCAGAACCTTCTCCTTAATGTAAGGTAGTGAATTTATGAGGACTGTCTTAAGGAATAAAAATTAAATTTTTCCACACCTTTAACGTTAAAATACTGTTTCCTGATATTTTTACATGAACAGCCAGACAAAAATGTAAAAAATGAATTTTCATTCTGTTGTTGAACGAATCTAGGTTTTTTTTCCTTTCCTTAAAATGTCCGCAACCTTCAACTTGTTTGAGTTAGAAAAGGCTTTGTAAGGAAACCCCTCCAAATTTGGCACTGATACAAGTGAGCAAAAATTCCCCTAGGACAGGCATTGGGTCGGTCGATCCACCGGTGATCCGCGACATGTTCTCGGACAAGAATACATTTCGCCGAGCGGCTGACCATTAAAATAAAGGTCAGTGGGCGAGCAAAGTCCCTTCCTTCCTTTCTCTCTTTGTTTATTGACTGGTGACGTCACCACTACTCTTTCTCGCGTGGAAAACTTTGGAGAATTTGGGCATGGCATCACAAACAGCGAGTGGGCTATTAACAAGCAGAAGCCCCTGGTGCTTTGCGAGTGCGCCCCTCTGGCAATTTCCACCTTTCTACACCTGTTTCGCCCTAGGCCAAGTGCGTCATCGATTGTTCAAGTGCGTCATATTTGGCATTTGGATGCGAAAACCGACTGGGGGAATTTTGTGAATGGCCAAATTTAGCTGCCGGATAGATTTCTACGCGCGTTGGTGCAACAGACTGGAAAGTTTCCACTTCTGATTGCCTTACTTGGAAGCCTTTGTAAATAATATATCAGATTGTCGGATCAAATTTACACTGATTGTGAGAGTGCTTAACCTTAAGGATAACTTTGACAATAAAATTAAAAGGCTAGAAACTAATGAAAAAAAACTCTTTTTCTATAAAGGGCGACTTATTATGCTAAAATTTTGAAGTTGAAATAGTCCCAGGTAAGGTCTTTTTTTAAGAAAAATTATAAAAAAATTCTTTATATAGCAAGTCTTTTTTTCAAATATTGAAGAATTTAAATATCGCAAAGTAAATAAATTGTATAATTATTTAATAAAAATTAAATTTACATATAACAGAGATGAAGAATTTTTGGAAGAAAAATAATTATAAAATGTTAAAAATCGTGTATGTATTGTGTTTCTTTATATTTTTAATTAAAAATTAATCAATTATTATTTTGTTTACTATAATGTTTGTTTCGATGAATTATTTCTGTTAAAAGACTCCAACCAATAAATCTTTTTATAGATTTATGCACTGAGAGCATTGCTGAAATATTTCAAACTTTTGAGATTTTTTCTTGGATAAAATAATACGGGGCTTGACATCTGGCTTCAAATAATATTTTGGCAATCTACTAGAATTGATTTTGATTCACAATAACATAATTCATAATTCCCAAAGATCCACTGTCAGAATGAAATTTCGAGCAATTTAATATAATGAAAAGACTTTTTAACTAGACAATTCACAGCTTGATTATTTTATAGAGTTACACAGAATTTACATTGAATGGTAACACTTTTACAGAATTTACAAATTGTATTAATTATAACAAAGAAAAATAAAACGGTTGAAGTAAAATTTAAAATTAAATGAACGATTTCTCCGTAACTAAATTTACTTTGAACGTTCAGGATACAATTAAAATAGTTAATTAAACAAAATAAGACTGCATCGCAAACAAAAATTAATTTTGAAGTAGAAAGTAATTTAAATTCAGTTTGTCAAACATTTTAAACGAATAAATTAATGCTGTGACTTGAGGGCAAACAAGCCGCGAATTTTTAATCATGTTGTAAAGCATAATGTCGGTACAAAGTATACCCGCGTAGAGTTAAAACAAATAGCGCGAGGCAATTAACTCGGCTTGTTGTTTCGCGAATCGTGCAAGCACGCGGTCGAAAACCACTGCCGCTCATTTAGTCCCGGCTCATTTGCCCGGCGTAATGTGGATGTGTGTGTGCGGAATAATAAAAATTTGCAACGCAAACAAGTCGGTCTCGCGAGAACTTTCAGCACTTTCACAGCAGCAGCTGAATTTCTGACGCTAAATGCGTAATTATCTCAGCTGTTGATGCGAGCAGGGCCGGCCAATTGCAAATTTCATCGTTCCCAAATGGACGATTCGGTGCATAAATAACACGGTTCTGCGTCCAGGCTGGGGCGCATGTACATTATTATGTACAGCGGGTCACGCAGAGTTAAAAATTAGCGCATTTCGTCCAGCTGATTTGTTAAAAATTTTTATTGTAAATCGATGTTACGAAAGATTTCTTGGTCATATTAATTGTGGTAGAAGATAAATATTGAAATGTTGAATTTCGCATGAATTTGTTGGTTTGCCTAATTTACGAGAGTTAGTCGAAATTATTTAAATGTTTTACCATTTCAGTAAATTTCTCAAATGAATTTTGTAGCAACTTAATTGTTAATTTAATTTATATAAAATCATAAAAATGTATAATCATTTATATTAGCAATGAATTGTGCAAGATGCATGTTTGAAAAAAAAATCCTTAATTTAATTTAAAATATTCTATACATGAAAAAATAACAAAATGAGATGTCTTGTTTATTAAATTTAAATCTGTAATTCAAATAAATTTTCATTCGCAATCTTTCTGGAGGTTTCTTGATTCTTTTCTAGGCCTCGTGCATATTGATTTAGTAATCACTTCCAAACAATTGTTGATCAATTGAGTTCAAGGCGCGCAGAAAGAATTAAGGTCCTTGAAACAATTTTTCTATCGCAAACGTGACCCAAAAACGACGGCTATTGTACTTATTTACTTCCGAGTACAATCAAGTCATTCTAACGGATAATATTTGTATTTATCAAAACTCGTGTCGGTCAGCTTGCAGTGACCGTCGTCTCGCAATCGCAAAGTTTTACTTCTTTGCAACCTGGCGCTCGACACGAGAAAATTATACACACGTGTACAAGGCAGACAAACAAACATATATGGAAAACAAACGTGTAAACACGCAAAAACAAAAAGCAGTGCAAAAAGCCAAGTAGCATGCGAAAAGAACAAAAGCTTAGCTGGTGGGAAACGAAAATTGTTGGTTCACAGAGAGGAAAAATTGAGAGCGAAAAAGAGTAAGTAGAAAGAAAGGGTAGGAAGAAAAATGTACTCCTGTTTTATTTGCGACCAATAGGTATATTAAAAAAACCGACGATGAAAGAATTCAGGGCACTTACCAAGGCTTGTGCTGCACTCTGGTGCTGGAATTGGAAGAAATTGCATTTTAGTCATCTAACATTGAAAAAACAGGATAGATTTTTCTTTTGAGACAGGAAATTATAAATAGCTGATAGAATAGTAGTTGTTAAAATTTACGTGAAAATGAGATTAAAAAAAAATCAAGGAAAATGAGTATAGAGGGAGCAGATGAGATTGAAAGTACGCTTGAGGATAAGACGGAAAGGGATGTAAATTTTCTTCACATATTAGGACAGCGGCAGTCGCGGCATTTTGACATGTTCAATTATTTTATCTTTCTCAAATCAATATTCAATTTAGGTCAAAATTCCACGAAAAAGGCCAAACGACATCGAACAGTCAGAACACAATTCAAAATTGCGCAAATGTACATCCATATATAGAGATAGAGAGTCGGTTTGGTCGTGCTTTGGGGGTGGGGGGGGATGAGACAGTGAGCGTTATGTAAATGAGAGCGAACAGAGGGACACAACGGGGCACAAAACATCGACACACCAAACGCCTCGTTGCTACTCTTGCCCGGTGGAGGAGCAGGAAAGAGAGAAGGTATATTTTGCGCCAGCTGAGATTACTTTTTACTGCACGTGAGAATGTAATAATTTCAGTGAGTCTAGGTAATTAGTGCGGGTCTGCAGTTTGGGTGATGTAATTGTTGCACAATCGGCATGAAATTGAGGAGCAAACTCGCTGGAGAGAGAGAACGCTTGATGAATAAATTACAGAGCGTGAGAGTTTGATCCGGCAGTGTTGGATCGACTACTAAATACGTACAGCAGCGCCAGATACAGTGAGAGAGACAGTATAATAGGAAATTTATGAAATTGCAAAGAAAGAAAATACCTGGCCGAGGCGTCTCGTCGCTTCTGTCATACTTCCCTAGGGAGCAGCTTTATTGCGAAGAGGTTATAGATTGACTAAGTTAACAAAAGTCGGTGCCAATTTTTTAAAAGTGCGTTTTTTTTCAATTATCATTTGCTTACAATGCTTACAATTTTATAATGATGAAACATTACGAAATATTATATATTTTTATGGTCTCTAAAGAGGAAGACATGATTTAAGAAGAGAAAATATAAACAAAATCAAAATTCAAAACCAATAAAACTAAAAACACTTTTTATTATTTTCAGTAAATATTGTTTTTAATTAGTTTCTCTCCTAAAATCATGTTTTTGCTCCTATTATTATTTGATTTTTGGTCGTCGCGAGCAATAGGCAACCCGCGCAGCAGCCGAGCTCGACGGAACGCTCGATTGCCTGCCAAGCAGGGGATTATGTGGTGCGCGCACTCGAAACGTAGTGTAGGCGCACAAGGGCCCTCGATACGTATGCGACAGCTTTATTTCGTCACGGCAGAGCGAACAAAAGAGACTCGCATTTATAATTGATTTAAATAAATTCGCGCGCCGACCAAATAAACAACCGGAATGCTGATTTCGTTTTGCAAAGGATTTTTGTTCATAAAATAAACACGCAGCTGCTCAAATTTTTCCGCATTCATCGTTTTATTTATTGTTTCAACCATTTTTGATAGGCCACGTGCCAGCCGTTGGACAAAGCGAGGAAACGACCCTCAAGAGAATTCGCAGAATTGGGAAGGATACATTCCTGTGTACACTTCCTTTCTCGCCGTAATTGAATTGAATTGTAAATGAAACGGCGGTGCGTGATAAGCGGCACGCAAGTGTACAATTTAATTTGCATTGGAAAGTCAATTTATTCTTCTGACGAAAAAACCATAAAAGAGTTTCATTGGCTTGCAAGTTAATTCGTATCTTGGCTACGGAAAAATTAGCATAACAGAATTTGCCTTTGCATATATTGGATAATAGACTATTCTAGGCGTTCATTTGATGAAACGAATAAATTTGATTCGAAAAAACAATTTGAATTGTCCTATTAAATTATAGAATTGTTATTAATTTACTAATAAGAGGATTTAACAAGTAAAATAAAAAATCCTAACTTTTCGTTTCTTATTTTTGCCTTTCTGAAAACTAAAAATCTCATACTTATAAAAGAAATTTAATTTTGTGGCACCAATCTGATAGCTAAAAATAATTTTGGTCATGGCCTTGTAGGTTTATGTCATAATTATCGATTTCTCGAGACATGACCTTTTTCCTTTGATGGTTTCTTTTCAACTGTCGGAATATATTTAAATTTGAAGGAAACGAGTTATTTTCTACTTAGGATACAAATTATCATTAAATCTAATATGTATTTTTAATAACAGAAATATATAATATTATGTTCATAATGAGATAAGGTAATTTCAGGATTATTATGAAAGAAATTTGTATTTAAAATATTCACTCAAGAGTTGCAAATTGTTAATACAATGATAATTCATTTAATTTTGTTGATTTTAAGCAAAGATTAAGAATGGGACAAATCCACCATTAAGCCAAACGTTTGAATAAAATTTGCATTAAAAATGTAAAATCACTGGCCATATCAAACGAGCACAAGCAGATGCTCGATTCAAGAATACATTAGTTTAAAATTGATTAGGTCCTGCAATTTTCTTAGGTTTTGTTTAGGGTTTCACCTACATTTATTTTTGTAATATTCCTAGTAGTGGTTTTGAAAAGCATTTTGTATGTTATAAAAACATAAATCCCCCCCCCCCCTGGAATTTTTCTAAGAGCTCTTTTGATAGTTCTAGTACGTTCAAGTTTTTTACTAACGGGTTTGGTCCGCTGCAAAAAGATGGCCGCTTAAAGGCTTTGATATGCGAAGTCGTCATTATTTTCTCTCGCACCCGGTGCCATGTTGATTTTGCGGCCCTTTCTCTCGCTTGGTGTGCGGAGCATCTCATTAGAATAATAATTCAATAGAGGGCTGACTGAGAGAGCGAGTCAGTCAGTCGGATGCTGAATGTGCAGCTGCTACTTTTGTGTAATCTGCACGTCTTTATCGCTCGCTCGCTCATCTCCGCCGCCTGCAAACGGAGCATTCAAATTTCAATCGCTCCGTCGCGAGACATGCATGCTTTCAATTAAACGACACAAATCGATCAATTTCGCAGCGTCAAAAGAAAAGGCGAGCTATTTTTACCCTCCCTATAACAAGCAGCAGCTTTCGTGATCATTGTGATTAAAACGAGCGTGTTGCTGCGCCTGTTTTTGTTCTTTAAGGTATAAATAATATGCTTTTCAGAAAGATATAGGTAGGGGTGACGGAAACACAGTGTTTCACATTTGAAAAATGGAATGTGGTAACAAATCCGAAACCAGAAAAATCTGTGGACCAAATAATTAGAAAAAAATCTAAACTTTTTTCACCAAACCAATTTTCAGTCAGTTTGCTGGTTGCAATCATTTGGGAAAACTACCAAAACATGTGTGTAGTTAGTTTTAATTTTGATTAATAACTTCAAAAATGGGTTCGATAAATAAATAAAGAATAATAAAATTTTCTGCCTGATAATTTTTTTACAAAAGGAAGCAGGTGATTAATCAATGAATTTACTTTGCTAATGATTTTAATTTGAGAGTTAGCACTGTTGAGATAACCATTTGAATCTAACATTAAAATCATACAACTTATTAAGAATTTTTATTTGATTCTATCTTTAAAAATTGAAACATTGAAAGAAAAAAATAAGTAATTTATAATTTAATTTCGAGCAGAGATAAATCAAGTCTGGTATTAAAATGAAATTGCGAGTGTCAACGGCTAGACCGCACTCGAGGCGCTATCTGCGCCAGGCACATTTGCCAAACTAGTGCATAATGAGCAAAGAGGCAATTCCGAGCGGTCTCTTCGGTGCCCTGCCCGCTTAATTCGTAATGAATTCGGCGTCCTCTAATTATTTAATCGGCTTAGCCTGACACTTACTTGGGGCCTTTGCATTATGCACGGCGTCTCTCCTTGCCACCTACACTCGTGCGGTGAGTTTCATATGAGGACATACATATAAATTTCAAATTTCAGAGCCAAACTCTTCGCAGCACGCGACGAGCGCTTTGTTTGTCGTACTTGTTAGCGTGTTGTGCTTATCTCGACTCTCTCATTCAATTTCCTCGCAGCCCCTGCCGCATTCATGCACCCAAAAGGCATCGATTGCCGCCCATTGTTTATGTATGCAACGGTGTCAATGGCAGCCGTCGCTCTCGTTTTTCTCTCAGGCCGCCCAAAATAACTCGCTATCATGTGAAAAAAGTTGAAAAGAAACAAGATTAATTAATCCTTTATCCACTGAAAGCTGCATGAAAAAACTGAGAAAATCGAAAAATGTGGAGCAATTTCATTTTATATCATTTTGTATGACTCATTAGCAAATAATTTATTAAAGACCATAGCGTACAAAAACTTACATAGATACAAAATTTCTCAAAAGCCATTTACTATATGACTTATTTTGTAATATTATTTTTATTTTCAAATGAGGAAATTGATATTATTTTTATGAAATCACATTTTTCAGGTATTATTTAAAATGCAAAAACAAAATTTACTATCCTAAATCTTAATGAAAATTTAGGAGAAAAATATTATTTTAAAAATCCTCAGATTGTAATAAACCATATTATTATCATTATCAAAAGTTCCAGGTTTTTAAATTAATTGTTAGATGTTTGAAAACTCGCCAACGGTATACAAGAGCTTAAAAAGATTTTTATTTCAATCCATTTTCAAACATCTGTCAAATTAACTTTTGTTTTAATTCATAAAATCGGATGCAGATGAAATGAAACTGGAAAATTATATTGATTATTAATTAAGAGGGCTGAAAGAATTTTGAATGAATGGAGAGATAAAATTAGCTCTCGGGTGCTCCTCTGGCATGCACAAAGGAGATCGATTCACCCCTGGCTGGGTGGCGCGAGACCAGTGCGCTAATCCCTGGCGAGTGAAGAAATAAAGCGGGTGCAAAAACCTCAACTGCGCCGGGAGCATTTGCGTTACATCAGACGCCTATTTACAAACACATAAAAAGCCAAGTGTGTGTTTGAGAAGAGCGCACGCGAGCCAGAATAATAATCAGAGGCAGCTG